GGTCCTTTCCAACCCAAACCATTCTATGATTCTATGATATTCCCTCATTATGATCACTGTTAAAGAGCTGTGAATGGCTTCAATAATGTTAGTGGAGAAGATGCTTGTGTTCTCATTATCAACCTACAAAAGCAGTTGGCTACAGGGATATTAACCTGGTTCTTGTCATGGCAGGTCAAAAACTTGTCAGTGTTGCTGTTCTTCCACAACGGAGGGAGTTACAGTGCTGAGGCAGGAAAGACAACCATAGATGGATCATATCTAGCTGCCATCAGTAACATCATTATCGTGATGGCAAACTACCGGGTCGGCGTTTTTGGCTTCCTGAGTACTGGTAAGTCATGGATTTCTAGAGCAAACACAGCTATGGGCTAAATTGAATTCTGTAACACTTCTGTTTTTTTGTGGATTTTTTGTTTTGGTGGTTTTTTTTTTTTAATTTATTTTTTTTTTTAATAACTGAAATAAAGTTCAGTTATTTTTTAACTTGAAAAACCTGTATCTTTCATTGACTGTTTTGGGGGAATACCATGAAGACTCAACTTGAAGAGAAAGGGGAGAGGTTGTGGAGGCTAAGGGACAAAACCAAAACCCAAGCATCCGTATCAAAGTACTGGCTAGACTTGCATTTGCAGATGCAGCTGTGGATTTTGGGTTTTGCAGACAAACATCCAGACAGGTTAAGAATCAAAATTGCTGATTCCAGTGCCTGTCATTGTGGATATGTTTTTCAGTGTCTTCGACTTCCAAGTGTTCCATCCATGAAATTTTGCATGTTCTGTGTTTGCATCCCTCCCCCATACTCTCGTGTAAAGGACACTTTTTCTTTCCTATTGCCTCCTAATACCAATTGCCATTAAAAATTACTCAAATTCTCATTATATACAGGAGTTTTGTTTTGTGCAAAGAGGCATGTACATGTGAAAATGCACATTGCCTCTCCCTAGACCTCTGTGGTGGTGGTGTCTGGTCTTTGGGATTGATTTTTGCCTTTTATTAGATTTGCCTGCTTAAGCAAGTAGGGAACACTTTTCTCTATCATCTTTCAATTCTGGCTGGCACAGGGGAACTTAAAGAACCATGGAGAGAAAATGCAGTGATTGCAAGTGGAGCTTTGGTTCCATCATGCTGGTTGCAATCCTTGGCCACTCTAGTGGACATTTTAATACCCTTATAATCTTTAGGAAGTTATATCTGCCATGTTTGCAAATACCAGACTTACATACTTTGCCTCATGGTTCTTTTAAGTATTCACTGGTAGTGATGCTGTCTGGATTTTGTCTAGTTTGGAGTATATAACTGCATCTACTGATTAGTGTTTCTCTTCTTTGTTTTACTGTTTTGTTCACTCCCAGCAAAGCCTGTTTTTCATTCAGTAACGAACCTTGCACTACAAATTCCTTACTCATTTAGATAAGAAGTTGGTAATAGGTGTATCTGGGGAAAGAATCACTGTTTTCATCAGTGCAAACCAGATGCTTATGAAAGTGATACTGTGGCTTCATTTTGGCTAGAGCCAAATGCGGTGTGGAGCTGTGTGAGGTTCCATTACGCAGCACTGCCCACACGTTACCCACTAACCCCCTTCAGCCCTGCGAAGCTCCCTTAAGTTTCTTCCGAAGTGGAAACTGCTAGCTGGGCTGAATATTATACACCAGTATTTATATGATAGTCCATGATTGAGAGATAAGGAAAATTATCCAGCCTCTTTTTCGTAGGGATCTGCATGTATGTCCCGAAACATCAATGCATGAGCTGAATGGACTGAGCTTGCAGATAGAATTGCTTCATTATGAGTGGGACCATGCAGGGCCCCTCTCCTCTTCTATTGTGGAATTGCAGCCAGGGAAAAGTGCAGTCTTTCCTGTGCATTTGAGGAGATCCTGTTGCTCAGGAATAGGAGCAAGAAGGAAGAGCTCTTTGCAAGAGTCGTCGGAGCAAGCTAAGCACCACATTCATCGGAAGCCCTAAAAGTTCCTGCAGTGCCACACTCCTCTATGTCCTCTTTAGTTCATGTGGAGATGATGAGTGTGGTATGTTTGTACCAGGCCCCCTGTCAGCATGGATTTTCAGTCATACCCATTCTGGTGAGCAATGCTCCCACTGCAAGATCTATTCTTTGGTCCACCACAGGTTGATGAAATATGTCTGACTCCTTCTGTACATGACCAATAGCCACTGGGGATTTTCAGTGAAGGTTGTCAAGCTGGGTCAAATGCTATAAGGGTTTTTCTTAAGACTCAAACCTTAATGATATGCCAGGGAGGTTTCCATTCCTACTGAAAGACTTGGACAAATCCTGGTTCCTTGGAAGTTTTACCTCCAGTTTCACGGGAGGCAGGAGCTCACCTTTAGAACTGTGGGGACATCAACAGCAGGGACTGTTGGAAGGCCCTGAAGTCACAAACAACAGTTATGATCTTGTGAGCAATATCATTTTCATTGTCCACCTTAGCAAAGTGCTGCATCCTCTCATGTTACTTGTCATTAATCGCAAAACTGGAAAGGAAAGAAAGAGCTAAACGGAGATTTTGGGGGATAAAAGGTAGTGAAAACAACAGATTAATTTTTTTGTTTGGTTTAGGTTTTTTTTGTGGGGGGTGGGTTGTTGGGTTATTTTCAGTTCTGCAGTTGTTTTGGTCTCATTGACAGGGCTTTTGCAAGCAAAGAGCTCATATTGTTCTAAGTATAAAGGATATGTAATTTTATTTGCTAACATCCATTAATGTTGCAAAAAATGATGCACATTCTTGCTAGTGCCTTCACCTTCCACTTTAAACCCAGGAAAGTTAAAGTGAATCGTCAATGATATGGGTGGCAAGAGTATGGAGAAGACAGTCATGTTTTTGGGCATGGTTCTTTTAAGAATCTCTGAAGTCATACAAACCAGGGTTATTTTCATGCTTAAATTTAGCACTATTGTTCTTCTCCAGTTTAGCAATAACAGAAATGCATGTGTATGTCCTTGTTTGCTTCCTTCTGAACACTGGTCTCTTCTCATTCTCCTGTGGTCCTCAGGAATGTGTTCTTTTCCTGCAAAAAGGCAGTGGGAAATAATCCTCACAGACATGTCTCTTTTGGTCTAACTACTGTGAACGTCCATGCATGCATTTGTTCCCTAGAGTGGTACATTTCACAGCCTGATTGTGGTTCTTGCCAGGACAGAAGGAACTGGTTGTATTTCTCTTTTCAGTCATGTTTTTAGTATGCCAGTAGCAAGGCACATTGTGTAGCTAAAACATTTACATGGATTTACATACAATAATTTCTTCACCAAAAGAGCTGGTGAGCACTGGAACAGGCTGCCCAAGGGAGTGGTTGAGTCACCATCCCTGGAGGTATGTAAAACACATGTAGATGTGGCACTTAGGGATATGGTTTAGTGGTGGACTTGGCAGTGCTGGGTGAATAGACTCAAAATGATCTACAATTCTATGAGTCTGTGATTTCACTTCCTCTGGGGAGGTCTCACGAGGCATGCAGCAAGCCCTGGAAATGATGTTTCCTTTTTAACACCATAGAGTGGTTTCATTGCTGGGTTGAGAACCCTGGGAACTGGTCATGGTATGCAGAACAAATTAAAACAACCCGAAAAACTAAATCAGGGAAAGCTTTTCTGGCATTGCTTCACTGGTCTGGCCTGGCCTGGCCTGATCATCTTAAACTATTGCTGTAGGTGGAAGATTGTCGTTTCTGGGGCCATTTAGTTTTTGGCTGTCCCACTGCAAGGGCACTTATAGTGGTGTCTCTTGTAAGAGCTGCAAGGCTGCCAGCGATCAGGTCTCCTCTGTATTCTCTTCTGCTGCTTAAATTGGTGCCTGTGATTTCTCAGTAATTCATTGCGGTAGGCATATGGATATCTACTATGGGATATATGCTTCCCATTGCTTTTTCCCTGAGGCAGGGCTACGTGTTCACTAACTGGCATCTTTTTATTCCACTCTATTAATTTCGATTCACTAGTTTCTGAGCCTCTCGCTTTAAAATTGTAGTATTTGGTCTGGCAATGGAAGAAACAAATAGTTTTAGCTGTGTTTCTATTCCTGGCTTTTCTGTCTTTTTTTCTTATTACCAAGTTTTAAATGTGGAGAATTTAAAATCATTAAAAATGAATGCCTTATTGTGGATTAAGAAGCAGTAGACAATGGACAATCATTTTATATTCCTTTCTTACAGACTGTGCAGGATTTACTTATTTCTGCTTTTGTTGTTAAAAAATTAAGCTTGCATAGGGGTTTGCATCATTAGATGCTTTCACCATTTCTTTCCTATTATTTAAAATATCAGGTTACCACTGGTTGGTATTGAAAAGAAAGTAGTCTCTGCAGTGGTAATACCTAAACATAGGGAGCACATGATTCATTATTTTGCTTTTATTTTCTTGGGAACAAAAATATGTATACACATCAATAAGATCTGTATCAGTTAGACACAGATCACTCTTGTAGGATATATGTGTAGATATTATAAATTACAAAATAATATCTGTGTATGTTTAAAGAAATGCAAGATGATGTGACTTATAGATGATTGGTCAGACAGGGTAAGTGTAAAAGGGGTGTAGGAAGCAAACAGATGCGACTAAGTGTACTCCAGGGAAACAGTTGTTGATCCCTATGGGCCCCTTCCAACTTTAGAATTTGGCAAACACACTGATTTTATTTACTTTTAATTTCTTTTAAGATGGAGCTACTTATGTAGAAAAAGAATCTCATGGCCTGAATTTATGGATACTTGAGCCTGGACTCGAGTCTCCCACCGTGAGTTGTCCAATTGAAGCTTAGAAATAGGAGTGTTATTTTTATGTCAGCAGATCAGACAATTAGACATCTCCAGGGATGCCTGGTGCAGTGGTAAAAACTGAAATGGACTCTATCTGTTAAGTGATGACCTTGGAGGAGACCACTTCAGACTTTTAAACTCTGGTACCAGTTTTGTCAAGGTTCAGCTGCAAGAGCTGCTATAAATGCACCATTCAATCAAAACTTCAAATATGTTTCATTTGATTTCTTTTCAGCTCTATTTCATTGTTTCCTACAATAGGTTCCCCTGAGGCGAGTGGAAACGCTGGCCTTTTGGATCAGTTAGCAGCTTTGAAGTGGGTGCAGCAGAACATCGCGAGCTTTGGGGGAGACCCAAGCCGGGTTTCTGTAGGAGCTGACCGTGGCGGAGCCGATGTTACCAGCATCCACCTGCTCACAGAGACAGCCGAAAAGGACCTCTTCAGAAGGGTGGTGTTGATGGTAAGTCCTCTTCCTGCCACTTCATGTTCTTTGTGAAAGGATGTTGTCACGTATGTGAGGATGTGGCAGTGTGTGGGTGCTGGTTTTATTTCATCCATACCTTGGCAGCGTTAATAGGGCTGTTATTGCTATAGTTATTTTTCATCTCACCTGTGAGTGCTGTCTCCAGGAGCTGGGTGCTTCACAAAGGATGTACAAGAGATGCACTTTGGTGATTGATTTAGTCATAATAAGAATATGGTTTTCGTCACTGTGGTTTTTTTGTGTATTACATAAATAGTCTTGTTTCATAACTTACAGGTACAACAGGTTAGTTTCCATTCCATAAATACAATTGTTGATCAGCAGTTTTTAGACTCAAACTGATGAGCCCAACATCCGCATGTTTAAAGTATCCAATCTTTTTATCTGATCTCACAACAGCTTTCATGTGAAAGAAAAAGCAAGTTTCAGGCAGAGAGTAAAAATCTGTTTACCCACAGGCTTGTTTGCTGGCAGCTTGGGCTATTTTCACAGTCACTCCAAGTGATCTGTACTTTTACAGCACTTCCAGTGTCAAATCTTGGGACTTTGAGATCAGCTTTGTCAAGCATCAATACTACCGTTGATCTTTACAGCTTCAGATAATAGTAGTATGGTATGAAATAAGGCTTAATCTTCATTGGAGGTTTATATATGCAGCACAAATGGCATGTGGACAAAATGATCTCTCCACTAGCAGCGTTGACTTGGAACAAGGAACAGAATTCTTGGTCCGGGAAACCAAGGGCCCTATTAAATGAAATCTTGACTTAAAAATGACGACATTTCTATTCAATGATTTTTTAATTCAGTGTGCCCTTGCTCCAGGAAATATAACTTACCTTTTGCATCCCCATGGCTCAATAAGATTATTTTAATTGCATCACTCTAGTGGGGAAGGCAAGGGAAATTGTTGAAAATTGCTGTTCAGTAGTTGTTTCTTTGTGTCATTTTCTGATGGTTCCTCACACAATTCCTACAGGTTTACTCAGCTCTTGGCATAGCAGTTAATTTGCTAGAAACCCATAGTCCTTTTCTTTCAGAGTACAGGTACCTCCTCTCCTTTCTCTGAAGTCACACCCCCTTTACTGACACAGCTCAGGATGGGGCCCACTCTAGCAAGTTACAGTGCAATTTACCAGTTGGGCAACTTATGAAAGGGAAATGCAAGGATCTCTTTGCTTAATGTTACTTCTGGAGTGTAGTTACACATTATGTCTTGTCTTTTGTAAAATAAAGTTTGAACTCCTCCTTCTTCCTACAGCAATACATCAAGTAATGGAAAACAGTGGCAAGTGCAATGAGCAGGCAGGTGCATCAATTCTTCCCACTAACCTAGTGTTTGTAACAACAATTTTCCTCCTGGGACTGCAGACCATTATCTTGGCATAGCAGGATCTCAACTTATTTTGAAGTAATGTAAAGAATTTATCCTGCCAGGGTCACGGTGGGTTTAGTTTTCTTGTGAAATACACTGATGAAATCAAAAGCAAGCAGTAATAGCAGTGGCTTGATTTTGTAATTCATTCTTTGGTAACAAAATGACGCAGAATGCAACTGTTGGTTTACTCAGATTTCTCACCTAGACCTCTTGTGAAGGGATTCGTCTTGGTTTTGTTCCAAGATACCAAAATCATTGTGTACTTTTAATTTTACTGTAAAAAAGGATGTACACACAGATTAAGAATCATGAAAGTGAGAATATGTACCAGATACAGCTTTCCTGAGGGGAAAATCCCATGAAGCAATACAGCTTTTCTGCAAAAGTTAGTTTTGTGCTATTTTTTGGTCTTTGTCCTGAATAACAAAATGAGACTGTTTCTGAGCATGTAGAGAGGTGTGAGGTATGAAGCTTTCTCTACACGATGTGCACCTGAAATAGCAACATGTTGTTGAGTTTCCTGTGTCTGCCTATAATAGGTTTTATTTGGAATGGATCTGAAGAAAGATGGTACAAAATCCCTGCAAAGCTCTCGTGGGGACTTTTGGTGACTTATTTCAGCTTTCAGTAGTATGATTAGAAAAAAGTAATTTTAGTGATTATGGTCTTGTTTAAAATCAACGAAGACCATTAAGCTGGTGTTTAACTTCACCTTTTGATTAATTAATTTATTTACCAGTGCAATTTTGATGTAGAAGTGTGGATCAACAGTATGATTGCCTCCATCTCTTGCAGGAGGTTGTGGAGGGAAGATCTGTTAGGTGTCCCCTCCAGGCATTCCCTGGTGGGTGTCAGGAGGAGAGTTCCCAGCTTCATCCACCCAACACAAGGGAAGACACCAGGTCCCTCCTGGCCACGCAGGCAGGTCAGCCAGTGGTGGAAAGAACAGATTTATTGTCCTATTGAAAACTACTGCAATCATCTGACACGAACCCTAAATGTCCTATGTTCAGCTACCCTTTAAATACCTTTTCTTCCCTCTTTTCCCATTTCCCTTTTTTTTCCCATTACCAGCCTCATTCCTTCTCAAACAAACCAACCAATTCTGATAAATTTCTCTTCATTGGCCCCAGTTCCTCTACATCCCTACCCAAATTTGGTATTTCTGGTATTGTTTCTTAGGTAATCTCAGATTTTTATAAGCAACCTTGGTGCTGTTGGCCCTTGCAAGGTCATGTTTCCCAAAAGGTTCCAAGTACAGCTTTTCAATTACTAGTGAGAAACAGACAGACCTCACAGAATTTCTCCCTGACCATCTGTGAAATCCAGCCATCCCTTATTCATAAGTTTTTGTCACCTTTTCTTGTTGTTACTGCAACGGTGACCAAGCAATGGCACAGGTTGCCCAGGAATGTTGTGGCGTCTCCATCCCTGGAGGTATTCAATAGCTGTCTGGACATTGCCCTGGGCAACTGGCTCTTGGTGGCCCTACTTGAGCAGGGGGGTTGCAGCAGGTGACCTCCAGAGATCCCTTCCAGCCTAAGCTGGTCTGTGATTTTGTGGACATGTTGTCATCAGAACATATCCCCTTCCTACAGAGCATGCTCCAAGTGCTGCCCAGTTATATGGGCTCTTGGATTCTTCTGTTGAATTCCATCAAATATGCCTTCTGTCATGTCATTGCAAGACACATGAGGTTTTCCATTGTCTAAAAGCAACACAAAGTAACTACTGGATATTATTTTAATGAATAAATACAAGTCAGACTTAAAACTCTGTAATGCTCCCCATATAGCATTTCACTGGGTAAAACGCAGTCACCGTAACATATTAAAGATCAGTAACAGTAATGGGATCATACAACTCCCTAGAGTTCCTGAGTTCATCTTGCCTTGTGGTTTTCAGTGTTTACCAGCCAAATTACATTCATACTTTAAGTTCCGAAATACGTTTAAACAGGCTGTGATCTCTGAATCTCTCTTGCTAGTGCAAATGATCTGTTACAAGATCTAAAGGGCACACAGATTTGTGCTACGAAGTATTTACAGGGGACATATATATTTATAAAAACCCAATTCCATCTCTCTCAAAACCTTCATTACTCAAATCTGTGCAAAAAGGTATGACATAATATTAGATTGGAAAGACCTTGACTCAAGAACATGGATTGCAGCATTTTACACCCCGAGATGTGACTACTTGATTTAGAAAGCAATGCCAAGTCAGGTTCAAAGGACCATGCTAGCTGCTCCTTTAAGGGTACATACATACAGAAAACTTCTCTAATTTGTGAGATTTCAGGTAACCCATTTACAAATCTTTAAGAACTTTGATGAAATGTGTCGTTACTATTTGACATAACTTTCTTCAGACAAGAAATTCAGAAAGCTCTGTAACATCCACTGTTGCTGATTTGCTCTCTTAGTTTAATTATTAAAAAAGCTGCTATTAATATAAATATTGTACATAAATATGGGGGTGCCTTCTGGACATGAGGTTAAAATCTGGTCCTCTACGCATGAAAGTTCACACCTGTACAAGCCTACCTTTGCAGTTAGGCATGATATTACTGCATTTTGTTTTCAATTAAAAATCTCTTTGTTCTCTGTTTTATATCTGGTAGACTATGAGCAGCTGAGTTAGGCTTTTGCCTGTATTCCCAGCTCAGGGCTAAACAGGAACTGCTTTTCTCAGAGAGTTAATCCTGTTCTTAATTTTATGACCACTTTGTGACACTGCAGGCCACTACCTTCTCCTTATGGAGAAGAAAAAGGTTCATTTTTTCAATGTAGGTAGTTCTGTAAAGATGATTTTCAGCATTGTGGAGAATACCAGAGTAAGACTTAATTTGAGCTCTGGAGCTGTACTCAGTCCTTTGCTATGCAGTCACCTTTGTACAATGCTGGACATCACCCTTGGTGAAGAGTCATCTGCCTCACTTGGCTTTTGACTTAGAGTCTAACTCAGTTTATCCTGCTTGTGACCAGGTTTTAGTATCAGGTGCACTGGGGATGTTCCCAGCATATGCTGTGGCTGAGGCAGCACCCTTAAGGAGGTCTCTGGTTAACATTCAGAAGTGGAAATGCAAAAGCATTGCCAGTGTTTGATCACCAGCTGGTGTGCTTCTGCCTCCCGGCTGTTGAAGGGCTGCAGGACCACAGGATGCTCTGGGTTTCTCTTGTAACTCCTCAGTTTTGTCCTCCTGGTTGTCTTACATTTAGTCTTCATAGTATGTAGGTGGTAAGTGAAGGGTACTCTTGCGTTTGCACCCTGTGTATATAAGAGATTGGGCTTTCTTCTTTCTGGTGCTTGCAAAAGAAGTGTTGTCATCCCCTGTTAAGGAGAGGTAGGAAGCGATACTTTCTCTCAATCCATAGCTAAGACAAGAATCATCCATTGCTGCCAGGGTGCTTTCTGTATTTTCAGTCACCTCCAACCTTTAAAAGAGGAAAAATTTGTTACCATTTCAGCTACTCAGACTGAGCCTGTTAGTATAATATTGAGTTGTTAAACACAACGATGTTAATTTTGTTGTATTAAAAAAATTCCAGTCTCATAAATCACCAGATAATTCCTCTGTCAGTGGTTTCTGAAACAGTCAGTGCATAAGCAGTATCTTAGTATCTACATATTCTTCAGCATCTGAAAAGGAAATAACATCTACGTACTTTCTCTCTTTCCTCTTAATCTGTAGGAAAAATGGCCTCAATACTGCACAAAATTCTCTTGTGTTTGTAAGCAAATGAATATGCTTTGTGAAGGAAGGGTGATAGAGGGAAATTTACACTTCAAAAAGAAGGTGCTTTTGTTTCTGAAAGTGGTTGTTCCACTAGCTCTGAAACCTGACCTACTTTCTCTAGTTGCCATCAAGATACTATAAATCTCATGAACCTTGAGCTTCGCTCTATATTGAGAGGGACACAGCAGGCAAGATTTATGCTGGGATAATGTGTTCCTTGCATGTGTGCTGCTTCTTGAATGGCCACCATGTGAACAAGAGGGAGCCATTTCTGGCTGTTGGTGCTCACCTGTAAGCCATTGCACGTTACTGTGGTGGGTCTAACTAGGGTTTATGGCCTGCATCTTAATCCTGCACCCTTGGTAGAGAGGACTCGTGAGTCCCAAAGGGACTGTTTATGTGGTCAGACTCTTAGCTGGATATGAGAAATGATAGTTAACTATGCTTTCTTTCAAAGTAGACCAAGATTATCAAGTTAGAGAGCTGGACATCTAGTTTTCATGGGTTAACCTGCTGTCAACAGCTTTGAAGATTGTCTCATCCTTAAAACTGATCTCAAGAGAAGGAAATGGCTGTTTCTTCTGTGTTGTAAGTACAAGTACATAGAAGGCTGGAAAAAATCCCTTGTTGTTTCTGGCAGCCTGTGTTGTAATGTGGTACCTGTGAATATTTCTCCAGTTGAAGTTTTTATTCCGCATCACCACAGGAGGAACTTGGTTCATTACACTGTTGTTGGTAGTGCACTGGGTAAGACAAGGTGTTGTAAGGACACAGCAGAGACCATCAGCAACTTCTGAAGAGGGAAATGAATACACAGTTAGTGTTTGTTCACAGTTATCTTCCCTGTTTTCTTTCCCTGGTGCATGCTCACACAAACACTTTTGGACGTGGCAGTAGCAGTCAATAAATAGTGTGTCCTCAGCAAGGTCACTGTAACACAGGCTTAACTTTTCCTTTCCTCATACCTTTGCCTTTTAATTTTTCATGGGGCATGTGTACCCCAGTGCAAGTGAGGAACTGAGACACAGAAAGATAAAGTGACTTGCCCAAAGTCTGGAAGGAAGTCTGTAACAGAGCAGGGACTTAAACTCAGGTTTTCTGAGTCCTCAGTGAGTTCTGCTTTTGCCTCCCATCATCTTAGCCATGAAAACAGAGTGTAAAATAGGTGCAAGATGCAACCACTCAGATTGGATTGTATGTGCACCTGTTATGCTGTGGAACACGGCTATGGAATGAATCAGGGTTCACATTTAACTTTCATCTAAGTTTCTTCTCTCTGTCTTCTCCTTGCTCCACTAGGGACATTGCAGATGTTCTTCTGCCCAAGTAGAGAACATCGTGGCTGAATAATAATGTTTTATATCTGCCTTATTTCAGGGTGAGATTCTGTTGTCATGTCATGGTGAAGGAAGGTGGAGAGATCCATCTCACTGTCTTCTCTTACATGTAAAACTCAAGTAAAAATATTAATTGTTATGATTTCTCCACACCCCAAATTTTAGCTTTTGACTGTTTGCCTCTTTCTAAATGGAGAAAGGTGTCAGCTAACTAGAATGTAAAAAATGCCCAAAATAATATCCTGTCCAAATTCTGTTTATATCATTGGTGTTCAAAGTTTCTTTTGCATGTTTTGAATGTGAATATGGCTTTTCTCTTCAGTTTATCAGAGTACTCTTTGGCCAACAAACGTTTTCATTTAGCTATGAAATATGCAGATATGGTAGCTTTACACTTGAGTACTCGTTACTAATTAAAGCACAGAACCTGTTGTTCTCTTCTTTTTATGCAATAAAATTATTGCAATCTTCATCCTCATTTTAAAATGTTCTCATTTTAATGCATGGTACCTTCAGCCACTTAATCATGTCATTTGTCAAATTATCTCTCTGACATGGGTTAAATTGCCATGAATCTGGAAAACTATCACTGAAATGGGTGTCACCCACTGGACTGATATTAGTAAAAGTGACAGCTGAGTCTAGATTTGAGCTTGAGCCCCTTGAGATAACTTCTGCTGATAAAATGCAGCCATCCCTAAAGTAATAGGGAAGAAGCTAACAACATTTCTGAGAATTTTCTGCTGCAGATAAGGTGGTGTGATTTAGTGGTTCCTAAGAGAAATCTAATTGCAGAACCTGGTCTTGCATGTCCTGATGCTATCTCTTTGTTTGTATGCTAAGTAAGTAAATGGAAGACATGTCCATGCTGGTAAACTGTGACCTTGGGACCCATAACCATGGCTTGAATCTGCACAGAATAATGTTTTCTTATACCCAGACACTGACTTTAGCTGTGCTCTGAGAGGAGCTGGGCATCCCTGTCCTGTGCTAACCTCCAAACTGTATGTGAAAGTTGTCTACTGAAGTTCTAGACACTGGAGTTCAGACCAGTGTTACTGACATGGCCGTACAACGTCATATACCAATATGGGTAAAGCTTATCTGTCTTTGTTTAGCTGAGTTCTTGGGTTGATTTCAGTTGCACTGTTAAGGGTAGCATATTTGTAGTTAGGATCAAATATAAAGTAAAACACGGAAGCCAAAAGTTTTCCATTGCCTATTCCATGTCAGTAGTTGCAAGTCTTGGACAAAGGCAAAACTTCTTGTTCTGCATCTTTGATAGATTGTTTTACAATTACCAGCGGAAAATAGGTTTATCCTGCAGTTCTTTTTACCTGAGTAGTGATTCACAAGGTCTTCAAGGCACTGAAAGGTTTGTCGTGGAGAGATGTAATACCAGTTATTTGGAAGGCGGAAGATCCTGTAATGTTTCACTTGCCTGTGCCTCACCGACAAGGAATATAACCCTGGGGAAAGAGAAGAGCTCATTATACCAGAGTAGGGCCCCAATTCTGGATGGATAGAAGTGACCACAACCAGACTATCTGTTAGATGTGGTGCAATGATCCAAAAGGTCCCAGAAAGACCTGGAAAAAACTGAGTGGCCATCCTAATTTCCACTTAGAGAGTATACTTCATATTTATATTTAAGTATAACAAAGAGAACAAAGGGCCCAAATCCAACATCAGGGCCTGAGATCTGGACTGAATTTGGACTTGGATTTTCCTGTTCCTTTGTCTAAAGCTGTTTGTTTTAAAACTATTGTTCAGCATGTGGTTGGTAAAGACTGAATGTTGATCCTTAATTTCTTTCAATTTAGTGTAGCTATTATAAATCTAATTAGCCTGTGGTATGCAAGAGATCAGGGGAGATGGTTTATTATTCCCTTCTAACTGCAGTATCATGATATTAGGATGTGTTCTGGTGCTTCAGGCAAAGGGAAGATAATGTTGCACAATGGGAGATGTATTCCCATTGAAGAGCATTAAAGTGTGTTCAGTCCAATTCCCATGTAGCAACAGAATTGCTGTGAAAGAAAATAAAATTGAAGGCATATAATTTTTAAAAAGTAAATAGAAGAAACAATCTGTTTCTATAAGAAATTCACTTATCAGTCACCCCACTGCTTGGTGTGTGTTTTATAGCTTCTTCAGGCAATCTTTCGTAGCCTAAGGCAAGTCTGTGACTTTTCCTCCATTTGAAAAGTCCCACTGCATAATAAGCTTTGCATGCAACCAAAGTAAATAATAGTGTTTGAACAACTGTGTCTTTTTTATGCTGATGCCTGTGGAACTTTCCATGGCCATCACTAACCCTGTTGCCAGCACTGACTGGTGAAGACTGGCACACTGCACTGGGTGCCTGTGCTTTCCCAGTACATATATTTTCTGGTTTCAGGCTGATCCATATGAAGGACAATGAGTGAATTAAAGAGCTGTAAAATTCTTAATGCCTGAGATCAAGGGGGGAGAAATGGTATTTTCTCACCTTTTCTAGTTTCACTTTCTCTGATCATGAAGGAGCCGACCTTGGTGTTGGGTAGCAATAGAAGTTCTTCTGCTTTTTCTCTTCCCAACCCTTCAAATAACCAGCTGTGAAGCAGGAAAAAACAAATTCTGAAGTCTGGACACCAGTGAAACAGAGAGCAGCATGTGGTTGTGAATGTGCAGCATTAGCCAGGAAAAGTGACTGCAAAAACAACACTGTGGATTTCTATAGTTATTCTCTCAACTGTGTCCAGGCATATTTCCCCAGTTTATGGAGAAACTCTTGTTGAGTTTCATTAACTTCTGTGAGAATAGAGAGGAGTGAATAAGGTTTGGACTTAGAGAAAACAAAACATTTCAAGCTGCCTTGTTCCAAATTGTTGGGGACATATCCATGTGCTATCAATAGATAACATACCTGTGGCATTACTTAAATCCCTCTTTTTTATTTAAACCACTTTTGTTAATGCCAAATTGTATTTGATTCTATGGTAAATAAACCCAAACGCAATTCAGTTATTCTGCTTATGCTAAGGAACAGCCCAGCCAGTTAAGTAAATTGGCTTTGTGGATAAGAGAAAGTGGAATTAGGCCTACTGATTTTCACCATAGCCTGGTGCACTGCTGTATTTTGCCACAGGTAGTGTCTAACCCTGTAACTGAGCTTGTCTGGCTGGTGTATGAGCTACTGACACTTCATTTTGAAGTTGTTCTTGTGTGTTTGATCCAGTGTGCTATCTGCAAAATGGTCTTGGGGAAGCTTCAGACAGCAGCTTCCACCATCATATCTGTGCCTTGTCTTTGTGAAAGCATCTTTATTTCAGGAGGATGTAAAAGCATATTAAAATAAAAGCACTTTAATAAGTCACAGTGAAGTTTGCAGTTCATATGCCAGAAAGGTTTTAAGTGTGTTTAATGTTTCTTTTCAGACTGATGTCTAGGGCAACAAGAAACCTCTGAACCATCCTTAGCTTTTCCAGTGTGAGAGTTTACATTCCTGAATGGTTTATTAGTCTTTCTATTTGTTCTTTTTGGTCTGTTTTTTCATGAGCAACTCTAGCTTAAATTTTACTTTTTTCTAATATCAAAAATCCTTTCTAAATAGAGTCTTCTTGTTAATGTTTTTAAATTAGATATCAGTCTATGCAACAGAACTGTTTCAAATATATTACATTTGAGGGGGGTGTCTTTTGACCCTTTTCAGCGTTTAAAACTAGGATTTTCCTTTTCATATAATCTAAATCTAGGTATGGATTTGATGTTCCGGGATTTCAAAGGAACTATTTTAGACTGTCAATAAATAAAGTTTCTGTCTGCCTAGTCGCTGTTGGCATTGTTCTCATTATGACACTGAATAACTGATCAGGGCAGTATATGTAGAAACGTAGTGTTGAAAAGCTATAGGAAGTGCATTTACTTACCCATGGTAAACTTTTGCTACATATTTTCCTGGAATATAGTTTTCTCGACCTGTTGTAAGGGAATGGACTCTCCACCAGCCTCCTTCACTGTGTGAAAGCAAGAGAAGGGATATTTTCAGATGTAGTTTCAGACTTTGTCCTCATTTTAGGGATTAGTTCAGACATATGGATTGGCCCATAACCTTCTGCCTGTGTTCCTGAATCTACGTATTCAGAAAGGGACCCAAGTTGGTTTCATTTAAGATAGTTCCGTTTCTAAGCCTACATCAGGATTAAATTTGGACACAGGAACAAGCTCCATTTGTTCCATTTAAATTACGTAAGTAATAAAATATTTTTTCTGTAGTTAAAAGAGGAAGGGTAAATACTCAGTGGTTAAACCATGCTGTGCTCTGCCTTCCCGCAGCTAGACTTGTACTGGTATCCAGGATATCCAGCTTTTGGCTGAGCGTGCTGTGTCTGGACAGCCCTGTAGTTACTCCTGTAACATCAGGTTAGAGATACCCAGCACCCTGTCAGCCTGAGAACAGGTTTCAGTCTAACAGAACCTGGTTCATGGTTTACTCTTTTCCTTCTATTCAGTGAGTTGCTGACCAGAGTCCAATAGGTAAAACCTCATAGCTGAAACTAGGTGACTAGATGTATGTTTTTTCAATTATATATTTTAGGTTCTTGCTGTGATACTGGATGGTGGCTTTGGCTTTTGAATCCCTTAGGAAGGGCAGGATAACAAGGATTTTCACAGAGATTCTCTGGAGATTTAGCAATTAGTGCAAGGATGCTGATGGTCGTTAAGTTCTTTCCACCTTTTACTTTAAGAGTCTGAATCCAAATAATGCCTTGTGTTTGAATGCTGGTTTTGCAGATGTTCATATAAATGATCCCAAATAATGCCCGGACTTCAGACCAGAGTCTTGGTGTTTGTCAAAACGGCTGAGTTGAAAACATTTAGGATTTACTTTCTGAGTCATAGCTCCTGGGATTTACTTTCTGAGTTATAGCTCCTGGGACCACGGTCCAGAGTGTATATGCTGAGGGAAAAAGGGAAGTGTCTAGTGCTCAGAGCTGGAAATTTCAGGTCCCCACAAGTTTTGCTTGTGAGTTTCCAGCTGACATGAAATTATATAGAAGAAATTTAGGTTATTTTGGGTGTTTTTTCCCAGCTTTCCCAGAGAGAACCAAGAATTGCAGTGACAAAACCCCTGATAGTCTCAGCATCTCCCTCCCCTTCGAACTAATACTACCAATCCTGAAAAATCCCTATGATGATTAAAAGTCTTAAAGCATCACATCTCTCATGGGGCAGGAGCCACTGAACTTATATAGATTGGGGAGATCATTGGACAACATCTGTTTTGACTACTGCCCGTTTGGTGCTGTTGTTCGTCTGGTAAGGAAAGGTGCCTGACAAGTGTGGAGTGAGACACTGTGCCAGTGGTGCTTATCTAACCCTACTGAAGCAGAGCAGTCACAATATCTGTGAGAGCTGTGTTTTCTGTGGGGGTTCCATATATATAATGCTCCTGGCAGGACTGGTGGGGCTGGTTGCTGTTACGTGTAATTGCTTTGGTAGAAGACTGAAAAGCTGCAATTTCAAAAGCAGCATGTGCTGCCTGCTCATCTGGCTTCTCCGTGGAGACCCCTCATCACTCATGCTGTGGTCATGCCTGCCATGCTGCTCTTCCCTTCCACTGCGTTTGCTTCTTTGAATAAATTGAGGAAAAGATTATACCTACAGCCTATGTGCAGCAGGAGTCTGCAGGCAAACAGCTTCTCTTAACAGCAGCACATACCCCAGCGAGGAAGAACAGGTCCTTCATTAGGACACTGTGCTTTGCATAGAACATTGGAGTGTCTTGTCTTCTGTGAATAAGCTGATCCAAAACAGGAAGAGGACAGTTCCTATCCAGGCTTGCTTTGGCTCTTATTTACTATTAGGAGAAGCTCTTGATCACTGCACAACAGACAAATGTAATAAAACCTGCTGCTACAGAAGCCTAGTTCTGTTAGAAGCTATTAATCCAGTAGATCGTACTATGCAGTGCGTGTATGCCTGTGGTATGCCACAGATATAATTCCCATTGATAGAGGCAGACGTAGTTATGTGGCATTGTGAGGGCTTGTAGATGATGAAAGCTGGGAGGGAGGCTTTAACCTGGAATTTCCAAGTTAAAGCAATTGTGCCATGTTGTGTATGTTACGCAAACTGAAGCAAGGTTTAAACAGCTTGAAGTTACCAGAGAAAAATTCCCCTGGTTTAGAGAAGCTCTCCATCAGCAGAAAATCCATCTAGTGGTATTGTGTGACCCTTGTGACCTCTAGGTTCAGGAAGGCAGGGAAAGCACTTTGTCAGCAGAACTTAACTGCAGACATTCTGGATCAGACCAAAAGTCTGCATAGCCCATATCTTGTTACTGACAAAGACCACTATGGGTTATGGTGGCCTGGAGCAGAGCCCAAGGTTTCATCAATTATGTGTGATTTTTTTGAGTATTTCAGTCTTCTCCAACTATTTGATGCTCTGATTTCCTCAGGTAGAGAATTTTCTTTATGAATTTAGAAATGGTTGGAGATTTCTCTGCTATGACGTGTCTGATCTCCCCTTGAATCCGTCTGCTTCAGCAGCTGCAAAAATTAAATCTTTCTTTTCTGTTTAATCAGTGCAAACAGTGATTATGGGACCAAATAACATCTAGGAGGTCACTGTGTGCTGATACAAGTTGTGCATGAAAGAATACCAGGGCTGCTGGCTTTGATTTTTCAAGAAGTGTACTCACTCGTGTGTGGCAAAATGCTTAAGGTCAGTCTGAACTAGTACTCTTAAGCCTGCTTCCTTTTGGGGCTCATTAGTAACTGAGTGGAACTACCTGGGAAATCTCTGTCCGCTCGCACCCCCTCCCCCCCCCCCCCAGAAAATGTAGAATCAATTAAAATATTTAAGAAGAAAAAAAAAAAGCACTATTTTTTAATTTTATTTTAGTTAGAGTTGCCTTAGGGCGAAATCCTAAGACCTAATCATAAAGAGTTGTTAGAGAAAAAGGATGAGAGAGAAAATGAGACAATTGACATAGAGAAATTCAGATTAAAAGTTCTTTTTCTATGAGATTGAAACTAATTTTGCTCTCACTGTTTTCCACTAACATGGGGGGATGCTTTCTCAAAATCATTTTTCAAAGCAAAGTTCTTTTTTGAGTCCTGCTTTAGAACAGAGTCTGAATCCAGCTTCAGAAACCACGTCAGAGGGATCTGAGGATCAAAGAACAGTCTGAAACCCTAAATCCTTAAACTACAGAGAGATTCGCACCATGGCTAAGCATCCTTCCTTGCAAATTCTGAACTCAGTTCATTTTGCTGAAGTGCATCCAGTTTGGAGCACATGCATATAACGAAGCATCAACTGTAACAAAAGCTAATTTAACAAGGGTCAACTTACTCTGATAGCACGCGTAGTTTTTCCCCTACATGAAATATAGGTTGGCTTATGTCTGACGAAGGATAGTCATAGAGGACAGCAAGGAAATCACTCTCTTGACCTGTTAAAGAAGAAAGAAAATGTCACTTAAGCCAAGATAGAGTGCTGAGGCAGAAATGGATTTTTCATTATTTATGTTACATTTTACATAGTAGGTCAAATGGGGAAAAAAATGTCACCTGTTAAACATAAAGAGCTAAAAAGAGATGAGCCTGAAACTTTATAAGAAGAATGTGAAGATACTAGAAATGAAAAGTCATTTGGTTAATAGTAAGCAACTAAATTTAGACCTCTTTTTTTCTAGTAATTACCATATTTAAAGGACATATTCAGTTTGAAACTAGCAAAATTAGTAAGTATTTATAGTATTAGGAAGTAACCCAGTTTAATGTCACTGTCTCTAAATGCCTCCAGCTATGATTTTGAGCCAACCATTCCATTTGAGGAAAGGAAGATGCATGTTGAATTGTTCCATCATTTAACACCACGGATAGTTTTCAAAGTCTGAAATTAGTTTAGATCAAGGACAGTGACAGCGTGGCCATTATTGCCCATTTCCCATCACATAAAAATTAGCTTGGTGAACAGCTGGCATACTTGGTTCTCCCCCATTGAGGGGGAGGTAATAACTAGGGGTAGAACACGATGCCCTTATCTTCAATTAAAGAAGAGCAGCAACATGGGTTTTTATAATCAAATCATTGTACAACTGCAACTTTCAGAACTGAGGTCAGTAAAGAGATATGACCTTTACATCAGTTGGGATGGCTCTGGGCCTTGTAGCACTCTGTAGGACACTTGCTGGTCTCCTGGGTTTCTGAAGGATGGAGGAGGCACTTTGCACAAGACTGGGACTATCAAACCTTCAAGAGCTCCCCATCCAGTAGGAACCCTCTGCTTCCTGCAGGATCAGTACCTTGTTCCTTAGTAATACCATCTAGCAGGATGTATGCAGAGTTAGTTTGATCTACGCACTATGTACAGCTCAACATGTGCCAAAATGGGAATTAATTCAGGGAAGGAGAGAATGAAATTACCCTGAGACATAGACACATTGCCGTATCTTAGATTTTCTTGTTTAATATGAATTCCTCTTCAACTTGTCTTTAAGGAAGACAATTCTTTAGGGAAAATTAGAAGCAGCACCCTGAATGAATGCTGAGACTAACTCTGTTTTCAGCCTCTGTCTCCCAGGGCCTTACAAATTACCCACAGTGATAATGAAGAAAGGCTTAAGGAAACATGCAAGTCTGCAGGAAAGAAATAGTTTCAAGAGAAAAGATTTTACACTTGTTACCCTTACAGCAGTGATGATGAGAATATAAATGTTACAGAAAATATTAGGTTAAAAGGAGTGTTTTCTCAGTTGATTTTCAGTAGCTGTTTGTTGTTATGTTACAGGGACCTGTGTTATGCAAAGTAGTGAGTAATTTTGCCTTAATAGACAAATTGACTGTAAGCATTTTTAGTCTTCCTAGCCTTTACTCATTGAAGTAGCCCCACGATACAGTAAATGAGCATCCTTATGGATGCATAGATGTGTAAACTCTGGAATAGACATTTATGAGTTTGAGAGCATGTTTAGTATTAGTATTGCTATGGTTTCGTCAGTTGATTAGTGTCACTGAATTAAACAGGACTAGCCCAGTACCTTTGTATTAATCAACCAACTGCTGTGATTAGTCTACTGTAACATATCATACAATTAGTTCAGCTACACCGAAGAAGTTGAGTGCTAAGCATGCCTTTGATTGCTTCCCTGTTCTGCACTAAATATTAAGAGCCACCTTCTCTGTCTATGAAACTGCTTGGTACCTGAGGCTAACAAGACCTAGGTATTGGTGCTGAGTCTTTTTCAACAAAGCAAGATCTTTACCCAGGACTATGAGAAATATATGCCAGAAGGTATGCTGTAAGAACTGCAGAATAGGCATAAAGTGCCATTGCCTAATTTCTCGTTGCAGATTGTTAGACAGCAGCTGGACATGGAATGTCACATTTTTAGCTTAGTAACAATGCCTTTAGCAGTGATCTTTTTAAATGTATGCTATTTATTTATAAACGTTTTGTTTCCATACTGAAAGGGTGGAAAACAAGTGCTTTTCTGCTCTCCTTCCTTGCGTACCAGTGTTTTGCATGCTGTTATGCACTGAAGAGTATGTGATTTTTTTCTCTACTCTGGCAAGGTCTGTGTTACTTTGCTTGCACTTTCATCTTTATATTAGTTTTTGTTTCAATTTTGCATGTGAATTTGTAGTTCTGAAAAGGAAGGAATTAATCATAGTGTCGGCTGCCATATCCCTGCAAACATTACCTCTTAAACTACATGTACTTATATTAAAGTGAAAGTAAAGGGGTTTTGTACTGCTCAAAACCTTTCAACCCTCCTACTCCACAAGCAAGACCTCACCTTAATTGGTATTTAAATCAAACCTCACTGGGTTTTTTGGTCATGTAAAATACCCCACCACTCTACACTTCACAGAACCCATACTGGCTCCTTTCAAACACAAAGGCCTTGAAACAGGGACTAAACAAATGACATTGCTTCTCCACACCCAAATATCAGAGTGATCTAACAGATTTGATCTGATGAGCTCCCCACACTTTTAAGTCATAAAAGAAAATTGGCTTGCCTGAGTTTTCCTAACAGAGCCTCTCCTCTGCAGGGTGAGCGTAGGTTACATCTCAAATGGAACAACTCAGAGTGGAAAGATCGAAGCACACTTATTTCCACTGAATCTGGGTGTTAAATCTAGATGGGGTTTTTTAGGAGTAGCAAATGAATATGAAATACATGCTAGCTCTATATGTCTGCATCCCTGGATGTCTTGCAAAGTGTGAGACTGAACACTGCATGCTTCAAGTTATTCACTGCGAATGGACTACGAAGCACTGTAAGAGAGAGGGGAGAGCATAGACAGAGTGTAAACCAGAGAGGGTAAAGGAGGGCACTGGTGTGTGTCTGGGAGGCTGTCTGTACAGCAGCTATAAGGTGTGGCTGCAGAATCACACTGGTGTACCCAAATTAGATCTAAACCAGCCAGCTTGGGAACTGAGAGTTATGCAGGTGCAGCTCAGTGAGGATTAACCCTTGATTCACAGTCCCAAGGGAAGAGGAGGGGGGTGTGCCCACAACCCCTGATAACCCCTTGCTGCTGTAGTTGCTCTGTTATGAGTACCTAGGTTATGCCAGGGATGCCCATACACTGTGCTTTCAGATGGAGTGCAGTCATATTTGGTTACTAAATGCCTCCTTGGGAAGTGCAACTTATGCACTGTTCCCTTTCTCAAGAGCAAGACTGATGCACTGAAGATGAAGAAAGCATGTTTTGCTTTCAGTGCAGATCTGAGGCAGCACAAGGTGCTTATAGGTGTCTGAAGAACGTATTCACACTGCTTTTTCTAATAACTGTTAGGACTATTGGATCCTCCACCTCATTTAAAGGTGGTTCTTCATGGCCTGGGGGAAATCTTCCATGTTTGGTGATGTGATTTGGAATTTGATCGCTCAGGAAGACAGATAGATGCAAACTTGCTGGATTTATCCCAATATAAGCTTCTAGTACTAAGTTCCTTTTCTGTTTTCATTGGATTTGGATGACAGCACTAGCGCTTGTATTCCCAACTTCACTTAGCAACATCAAAGCCATTATGAAGGATGCTGGTCTGATCCAGACCAAGAGCTATGTAGTCTGTTAAATCATATAAGCGTAGAATAGTTTGGGTTGGAAGGGACCTTTTAAACTCATCTAGTCCAATGCCCTGCAACAAGCAGGGACATCTTTAACTAGATCATGTTGCTCAGAGCTCCATTCAACCTGACTGTGATTGTTTCCAGGGATGGGGCATCTACAAGACAGCCTGTTCCAGTGTTCTACCACCCTCAATGTAAAAAAATTCTTCATTACATATAGTCTAAATCTACACTCTTTTCGTTTAAGATCATTACCCTTTGTCTTATTGCTACAGGCCCTGCTAAAAAGTTTCTCCCCATCTTTCTTATAAGCCCCCTTTAAGTATCAAAAGATGGCAAAAAGGACTCCCCAGAGCCTTCTCTTCTCTCAGTGTTTCTTCATAGGAAAAGTGTTCCACTGCTCTGATCATTTCTGTGACCAAGAAGCTGTTTGAACACAGGTATCTGGTGCAATTTCAGCTGTGTGAGTGTCTGAGACATCCCTACAGCCTTGATAGATGCCACTGCAGCTATGGGAGACTTGTTCCCTCCCCACATGGCAGCCCAAGGTCAGGCAGGATCTGACAAAGCACCTTTCTAGATGTGCTAGATGTGTAGGAGAATGCAAGTAGATCAAGCCCTGAATTCCTAAATGAGTAATTTCCCCATGCAATTGCTGTGCTGTCAATGTTTGCTGAGTTATCTTTCAGGGGACTGTTCTATTTACAGCACTAGAAGTGAAGCAGTTGGCTTTAACCCTATTAAATCCTGACTTTTAGCATGTGCAGGAACAATTCAGACTTGGTCAGAGCCATGGCACTGACCCCTCACTGCCCTGCTGATCAGCAAGGTCCTGTTCTGAGTGTGTGCATGTCTCTCTTTTGATTGCCACAGTATTTGTGACAGCAGTTGTTGGGAATGTCAAGATATGACAGTCTTCTTCACAACCCCTCCCATCCCCTGTTAATTCATGTGGGTTCACTTCAGATGGAAATGTTATGGGCCTTTAAGTAGTATTTGGTCTGTGCTTCATCAGGACCTAGGGCTGTCCGGCTGCCCATATCAGCTAGTTCTTCACTATGCTAAAAGCAGGGCTGGGTTCCCTTCCAGCACTAATGAATCCAAGCTGATTCCCTATCCTTACAATAATGAGCAGCCCAATGGACAATCTTTCATGGGAAATCCAAAACCTTCAATTAATGCATTCCCCCTCTAAAAAATACCCCAAAACTCCAAACAAAGAATCAAAATTGGTTTCTCTTCCTCACCTTTGGGGAGTGATGTACTGCAGATCTTGTACCCACTGCCATTAGTATCATAGCATGAGAGCTGGGGCTGTACTGACTCGCCACCTATTCCCTGGCAGTTTGGGAGTAGCAGGTCACTGACTCCCTCTTGCTTTCCCTTTCAGATGCGTGACCTCTATTGGCCTCCGGAGGGGGCCAGTAGATATTTTCACGTGTGGATGCATAGGGTAGATGTGTTACATCCTCCTTCGGCATCTCGATCTGGGAAACGTGTGTTTCCATATAACCTTTTCTGTTAAACTCAGAGACAAGCTGGCTGTATGCTACTTTCAGTGCAACTGTCTAAAAGTGGACTCCAGGTTCAGTGCGAGCATAACATCATTAAGGTTTTTAACCTTAAATGAAGCAACCACAAATGTCAAGAACAAGTTTGTATAAAATATCCCATGCAAGTATGTCAAAATACATTATTTCTGGTTTCTGAAGTAGTGCTTCAGTGCTTTCTGCACTGGAAGGAATGTCTTTCAAGGAACACCAGCAAACACTAGTTTTAACATTTGGGGTTTTTAATTAAAGTAGTTCTTGGAAAAAGAGCTTGAACATACCTAAAAATAACCACTGTTTCATGGATGCCCTCCTTCTTCCACAGCAGTCTTGCACTTGCATGCTCTAACTATGTCAGGCGGACGAAAGAAGACACATGGAGGAATGTACCATGTATTTTGAACATCTTTTTTCTCTTGAAAGAAATTAAATACATGCTTACCCGTTTGGCTCGACACATTTGTCTCTTCGGAGGCTCTTGGTGTTTTCATGGTATTTCCCATTGTGCTCTCTAATTCCGTCAAAGCTCTTTCAGAACTAAATCAAAGGAGACATTGAAATTAAACATCAGCATAACACCTGCTGTGCCGACAGATGAGAAATGACCTAGTTTGGGTGTCTCCAGTTTTACACAGTTTTGCTTTTGAGAACTCTTGTGTCAAATTCATGTGAGAGTTTTACATACTTGCTAAACTCTCACCACTCTGGGGCTTTTATCAGGGGAATAGCAGAAAACCACAGCTAGGGAAGTTGCTCAGAAGGATGCAATGTAGTAAAAGTTTCCATTACCAGTACCTCAGCACAATAGGAAGTCACAGCAAAGCCATGCCCGCACCGTTTCATATACAAAATGTTCTTTTCAGCATTTGGAGCTCTGAAGCTACAAAGAATAAAGCATAAAGCTAGTGGTGCAAATTCTTGTCTTTAAAAGTCTTGGTGGATGTACAACAAATAGGATCAGAGAATTGCGGAACTACATATTGTGAGAGGGACAGTTCATTCTCATGGCTTTACTGCACTCATCCTAACTCTTCCCCTCAGAAGACAGAGAGAAAACTCATTGGATGTGGAAGGTGCCTCATGCTATTGTGTATTTTCAGAAGCAGAGGAGAATAAGCTGTATCTGTTTGCACATTAAAGTAAAATCACTTAACACCGCTATCTGATAGGTAATTATTTTAAATATATATTCATCAGTTGCCCTGTGTAAATGATATTAGGCGCTCCAGCAGCATGGTGTGGGTATTCTGCATCTTCCAGTCTTTTCTAGCTTAAATATTTCAAAGATGATTACTGCCTTTGGTATGCTGCTTGTTACTTACAACAGGCTGGAGCCTGACAGTGCTAGCAGAAGAGGGGTCTAATTTGAGAAACAGCACTGCTGAAATCAGTGAGACTTGTTATTGATCGTCTTATTCTGAAAGATTGGCACAATTTAGGTTATTGCTTAATAATATAAATTTCTGATATCTTACAGCAAGTATAGGAAGACACCCTACAGAATAAAATGCAGTTTGAAAGAAAGAGAATTCATCTCCTAGCGAATGCAAGTAGATCAGTGCTAAAACAGATGGTAAAGCACAGTTTGACTCTACCTCATCTGATTTTCAAGCTTCCTAGTTCTTGTTCCCAAAGGCTCTTTGCTAGAAGTCTCTATTTCACTGGCCAAATGGCATGTTACCGTTTCACTGCACTCAGGAGCTAGCTTGTGGCACATCTGTAGGATGCAGCTGTGCTTAGGGTCTTTCTGACAAGTGTCTGAAATCTCCTTGCACAAGAACAAAAAACTGTTTCACGGCCTGATATAAGTAGTCTAGAAGCTGAATATAAAAGCAGCTGTACATTTAAATAAACTATTTGGGTACTCATATTTGAATAAGAGAGACTCTCAATTGAAAACGAAAAATCACTCTCTGCTTAAATGTGCCTAACATTCTAAAACTGAAATCAGAATTCAGTTTGGCAGGCACTGTGTACTTCCAAGATTGTAACTTCCTGAACTATGAATATTTTGTTTTGCAAGACCTGATTGTAATTTCTTCAACACTTTTCTCTGTTGTATCCCATAAAGAATAAGAGGCATAGGCATAGGAATAGTGCAGCCAGTATTTTGGCTGCAGATACAGTAGATGTTCCTGGCTCATCTTCAACTTAGCCAGCAGAATTTCTTGGACATGGTAATAGAGAGCTCAACAGGGCTGGAAAAGTCAGCCAGAGAAGTGGGATAAATACCTGGAGAGATAACCTCTGCTGAGCTCTGTGCTGTAGTAGCTGCATTTCTGCAGTACTTGAAAAGGGCAGTTCAAATCTAGCTCAGTGTATAGTAAGCAAGCTGCAGTTACCAAAACTACAGTGCAATTCCAGATAGGTGCCAAACGTGGCAGCATAAATATCTTATGCCATCTATAATTTTAGCACATTTGTTATTTAGATGAGAATAGTACTTGAAGTTTGTGTCACAAAAGTCTGGAGAAATAAGAACAAAAATCCTGCCTCTATGTACCCCTTTATTCTGGGTCTTGGTATTTGAGGGCCAGGAGAGCAAGTCATCCTACTAAAGATCAGACTTGTCACAGTGATTTCAAGGGCTTTTTTTCCTACTCTTAAGACACTGTGGGCACAATTTTCAGGTGTGCCTGAGTCACTTTGGAAAGTGATACGTAGCATTTGTACAGGATGGAAAGACTTGTAAATTTTACGTCACACAAACTGCCTAAAATCATGGCGTATTTTAGCAAGGCACCTTCATTTTCCTGGGTGGTATCTAGGGTCTGAACTCCAAACATTGCTTTAAAAATACCTCAGGTGGTTTTGAAAGTTTGCTTATATGTAGTTCGTAATTAAGCCAGTTGCTGCCTAGTGCACATGGATGAAGTAATGGGCAACGGGCACGTGCAGAGCACATCCAAAAGTGGCCTCGCTCGCTTCTGCCATCCTTCTTCTCATAGAAGCTTTGAAGTCATTAGGACAGAGCATGCAGCTCAGTGCTACTACTTTAGATGTAGAAGAATCTGGCTTACGGAAAATACAAATGTTATAAAGTAGTTACAGGAACAGTGAAGAGCAATGAAGTTTTGGACTTTGATGTCACTAGCGTGACAGTTTGCTGTGTCTCAGTACATTTTCCACTCTGGTTTACTGCCACTAATTACCACTGGTGGCCATATAAAGTCTTGAAAGGAACAGAGAGTTCAAGATGTTCTCTAAAGTCATGACAGAAGCGTTCAATAAAAACAAGCAAATGGAAAGCTGTGATCACTGCTGTTGATTCACTTATCCGAAGTGATTAAAAGGAAACTGACAGATATCAGACCCTGTTTCACCACTAAGGCCACTTGTCGTTGTGCATTTGAGCCGTGAAAATGCGTCTATAGTCCAGTCGAAGGTGGTGGAGTGGATGCCCTGAGGCATGGCTTAACTCTGACGTTTGAAAATGAGATGAAAATGGAAGAAATTGGAAGTTTTCTTTGAAACGGGGCAGGATGGGGGCGAAACACTATTTCACCTTGCCCACTGGCAGTGGTGTATCACTGGTTTTAGAATAACAGGGTATGAATTAATATCCCAAGTATTTCTAAAACAACAGTGCACATGACTCTAAGTGTTGTGATAGAACTTAATGCCTTGAGTAGCTTGTGCTTGCACTGAGCATTGGCAGTGCAATACAAATCCATTGTATCACTAGATGATAAACTCTGTGGTGGTTTTCTGAAATTCTGAGATACTCTGCAAAAATAGACTTAGAGGAAACTGTTGAGCATCTTGTGGCCGTGTCGATTTTTTATCATTTAAATCAATAGCAGAATAGTAATAGTTTCATAGATGATATTCTTTTGAAATGGGGAATCTGCTCCAGGCACTGCACCTCATTTAAAGTTGGTGACAGTTTGGGATACGAGGAGAGGTGGCATCTGTGTGTTATGGAAGTAGATAATTGTGCCAGATCCAAAGAAAATCATTCACTGAGGGAGATTTGGGAGGAATTAAGGAGGGGTGATAGACTCTGAGCTCACTATGTCTATCAACCCAAAGCCCGGCATGAAGGAATGAGCTGCTGTTCAGCTTGGAGGAACCGCTGTGCTGCTGGGCTGCAAACCAAACTCTACCTGCAGCTCTCCCCACTCACAGGCCACCTCCTCAGGCTTGTGTGGAAATGTGATTTTAACCATTAAGATCACATTTGCAGTCTTCTTTGTCCTATCTCCTCTCCCCTTTCCATTTGTACAATGCTGTTTAAGGAAGGCTGGTCACTGCAGCCATAGCTGTTGCAAACACACAGCTAGTGGGATTTAGTGATCATTACTGCTTTATTTTTGCTGCCAAAAGGAAGCACCTATAGCCCCAATCCTGCTTTGTGTCCTATTTATGACTGATAAATAGGCAGACCTCTCGGTAGATATGAACTCTTCACCTGTCAAGACTGGAGTCTCACTGACCTACATCGTGTGTCCCAAGAACCTGTTGTACAATTTACACCTTCCATTCCTGCGTGCAGCACATGTAGCAAGAATTTCCTCTCGCAGAATCTGTTCTCTGAGCAAATGTGCTTCTGGAGCAGTTAAATAGCACAGCATATAGGAGAGTCTATGCTTTGCCAAAGCAAAACTTTGTTAAAGTTGTATTTGAAATGGTTGAGAATTAATAAATGAAATCAAAATAATAAGAGAAATAAAAAGGCAAGATAAGCACCTGAGTACAGCCCCTCTGCAAGGAATACTGCAGACTAGTAAAATTAGGACATTCATCATTCCTGAGATGCTGCACCCTATTTTTTGGAACCTAATATTTACATCTATACCATCAAGGTCTTAGAATTTAATTCTCAATAAGATTCACAGGTAATGTCTTGAAAATGAAAGCACCAACACCATGTTATTTTTCATTTTGGGGAAAAAAAAGCAGCTTAGATTTCAGAAGCTGTATATTTAGTGGATTTCCCTTAATGTGTCATTAATCAAAATGAGCATCCTTTCGGCTTTGAGGCACTTATACCTTTTCACTTAGAAGAACAAGATAATGCTGTAATCAAGGTAATTCACAGAAACATGCAACTACGAAACAACGCAGAAATACCACATTATGCAAACTTCTAACACTCTGAATAAAAAGCCCACTAATCTGTAGGCTCATATTTTGGGTTATTGTGCAATGCAGTTTGCTTCAGCATCAGGTCCTATGCATCTACCTTACTGTGAGCTTTCAGCAGAAATACTCCTTGTCCCTTCTGTCTTTCATACCACTCCTTATGAAAAGGATCAAGGCAGGCTATTCTATTTCTACCTTTGGTGGTACTTGAAATCCATGGTCTGAATATTGTCATTGTTAATGGAATAGAACTCCCTTTTATATAAACAAAATTGAAACATTTGGTCCCATATGCAGATAATCTAAAACGTATCAGAGCAATGATTACCTTTAAATGCTAGGCATGCTATTCCAGGTTGCAGTATCCCTCATAAAAGCCGTAGTCATAATACTGCTCTCGTGCTGCCAGCAAGGTTTAGCTGATCAAGTCGAGGAGCAGCCGGTCGAATGAGTGTGTTGTGAAGTTCACGCTGTCATGTAGAGCAGCATTTGCCAAACAGGCCACATACTTCCTCTCTGAGAAATAAGGAAGGCTCAAAGTGTTTGCAACAGATGAGGTTCCTGTTGCAAGTCACTACTCGAGACACTTTTTGTCGGTGGGCTGAGAAAAACAGGGAGGTTTTCAACGTGTTGCAAGGCTGGTTTTAGCAGATATAAAAAATGAGCAAAATAACCTGGTTTACATTATCTACACAAAAAGGGCTTCTCTTTCTCTCTTTTTTTCCTTCTTCCAAATTTATTTATCTAGTACTGTTCAGTCCCCAACTGTTTTATTTTATGTAGCTTTGCTAGTTTTTTTCATAGAGACAGGAAGAAGCACAAAACTTTTTGTTTTCCACTCTTATTGAGCCTGAATGAGAATGCGAGGTTTGCTTAATTCGTTACTCCCTACCCCAAAATACCTCTGTCTGCAAACAATTGAAGCTCAGTAGCAGCATCAGCAATGAAAGAATATGGAGTTAAAGCCTGTCTATGAAGCACATTTTCATATTGGTGGTACAAAGTGCAGAAGTAGGAGCCCCAGGAGCTCGCTCATCTCGGTGTCTGGAATGGGGAAATCAATAACCTGACTGAAGTGACTCAGGAATATAGTACTGCAGGTACAAATATAGAATTCAAAGGGATTTATTTAGGTTTGCCCTTTGCTTTAGTAATTGGGATGTGATCTGAAAATCTCATGTACTTTATTTTGTATATTAAAATTACCAAACCAAACCAAACAAAACCCAAAACCCAAACAAAATGCAGCAAGCCCAAATAGACATCCCACTTCACACCGGAGTAGCTCTGAGTAAATGCTTGTTGTAATGCCAGTGCGTTCAATGATGAAAACTAAAAGTTGACAAGTGTGGGAGCCATTGTGTAAGTGTTATTGGAACCAAGAGACACTGCTCAAATTCCCAAAGCTGTGCCAAAATTTAGAACTATGTTAATTTCAGGACAACATTCTTTCTTTTTGTTGGGCTGTGCTAACAGTCCTCATTCTGAAGGGACTGCACAGCATTTAGGGATCTTGATAAGAAAATCAGTCTAGACCACAGAGCATTATAGGCAGTCCTCTGGGGAGCTGGTTTTGCCATAATGTCCCATGATTATCCCCACCAGTTATATTTTGATAGTTTAGGATCTTATTACTTTCTTCCAAAGGGATGTGGCATGCATGTTCCTTAATGGCATTCACCGAATGGATTTACAATGTCTCTGGAATTACTAAAAGATCACAGGCTGGGGGGTGTCTTCACCACATGTGGGAATAAGCAGAGGGAGAGCTCAGCCTTTTCCTGATCCTTCTCACTAATATCTGCCTTTGGCTGGCTGATGCTCTTTGTGCTTCTATAAGAAGCAAGCTTACATCCTAACATGAACTCGTGAATGGAGCAGGTGTCAGACTGAGCAGGAAAGATTGGTCACACTAAAGAAGAGATTGTACTTGCTTGATAGAACATGCTCCACTGGAAACACAATAAATCTCAGCCAGGATTTGCACCATGCTTGTAGAGGAACAGATGAGTTCGCAGGGGAGGGAGGTAAATAAAATTGTCCATTTCCATGTCAACTCTGCCTGTTTCTGATGGCAGTTGTGTAGTGATGACAGCTAATTTACCCTTTCAGTGCATTCAGCTAATAACTTGTTTTAAATGATAATATAATTGATAAGCTAATGTTTACATCTAAATGGAAGAAAGTTAAGTGAGGCTTTATATGTCATCCTAAAAGTATTCATATCCTGTTATTCAAGTCACCAACCTGACACAGGCCTGCTGTGAGTTGCCTGAGAGAGGAAGTCTCAGCAGGACTACCTCTGATTACAGCAAAGATGGATTTACCAAGACTCATGTGTGAAAAAGAAATCTTCCTTCTTGGAAGGACTTACCTGCCAGTTCCCTGTTACAGTCCATGTGCTAGTGTTTGCCACGTGTCTGCCATGTAGCTCCCTAGCTGTGACAGAGACTTCTCGAGTTGGTCCCAAGGTTCTCTACCTCTCCATGTTCTTGAAGACAAACTTTGTCTGAAAGTCTGGAAAACTGACATTAATGTCTTCAGATAGAGCCCTGCAGCTTCAGTGTGTTGCGAAGCAGTTGCCACTATGCAGAATTAGACGTCTAAAGAAAAGCAGTGCAGGATGCGGAAAAACAACTCTGTGAGAAAAAAACCCAAAAGGCTCCAAACTGAAAACCACGTCTGAAAATACTTAAACTCCAGTCTTTTAGAGAATAATCTGTTAAGCTAATTGGAAAGAGGAGTTAGTGGTCACATTGTTGCAGCTTGCTTATTTGCAGGGAAAAAAAAACAGGATATGAGCAGACTCTTTAATCTGGCATTAACGGAAACTAAAGATACCCTCAAACAGAAATAAGGTGCTCCACTGTCAGTGAAGTGATTATCTTCAGGCTCAAACTGAAGAGAAGAGGACTGCGGTATCCATTTGTCAGTGTCTCTGAGCCCAGCTTAAATGCTTGATACAAGAAGCAGGCTTTAGTCAAACACAAGCCATGTTTTAAGTGATAGGAAGCACTTGAGCTCAGCAGTCAGGAAATGGAAGAGCCTTGGCTATCCCGGAGGTCAAACCAGATGGTCTGACAGATATTTCTGGCTGGGAACTGTATGCATCAGAGCCTGGAGAAGTGCCCATCTTGAACACATAAAATACTGCTGTAGAGGTGGCTCTTTTGGGAAAGTAGAATAATCAGGATATTTAATTCATTTGATATTTTTTGATCTCACTTTTTGCTTATTGCTACTTTGCTTATTGTTACTGTTATTGATGTGTGTATTGCCTCTAGAATGCTTCTGGGTAGGCAGAAAGCCTGCTTCAGAAGGAGCCTGCAGCCTTGCAGCTGTCAGGGAAACTGCATTAATTTGAAGGCAGTGCATGTGTCAAAGAGCCGAATATGGCACAAGCAGAGTTTTCAGTTTCAAGACAGGTTGGAAAAATAAGAGGTCACGATGTGAGGAGAGGAAGGTTTTTGGGTTTACAGAGTGTGGGTGACAAAAAGTAGTTGCACTGAAGTTTTTAATCGTTAGATCTGTTGTGAATCATTTTTGAAAAACTTTGCAGAAGTGAGTTTCCAGAGTAAATGAGGATTTAAGAGACATTCACCACAGCAGCTTATTTGGCAAATGTCTTTTCCAGGTGTGCTGGGAGATAGAGATGCACTTAGAGTAATGTGTTGACCTGGCTGGACATCAGGTGCCCGCTAAAGCCACTCTGTCACTGCCCTCCTCAGCTGGACAGGGGAAAGAAAATATACTGAAAGGCTCATCTGTTGAGATAAGGGCAGGAGGAGATCACTCACCAGTTACTGTCATGGGTGAAACAGACTTGACTTGTGGAAAATTGCTTTAATGTATTACCAGTGATATCGGAGTAGGGTAATGAGAAATAAAAATGACATCTTAAAACCCCCTTCCCCAACCCCTCTCTTCTTCCTGGGCTTAATTTTACTCCCATATTCTCTACTTCCTTCCACCTGGCAGTGCAGGGGGATGCGGAATGGGGCTTGTGGTCAGTTTGTCTTCTTGTCTCTGACACTTCTTCCTCTTCATGGGAGGACTCCTCATGCTCTGCCCCTGCTCCAGCATGGGGTCCATCCCGCAGGGGCAGACCTCCATGAACTGCTCCAGCGTGGGTCCCTTTCATGGGTGCAGCCCTTCAGGAACAGGCTGCGTGTGTCCCTGGTGGGGTCACAAGTCCTGCAGCAAACCTGCTCCAGCGCGGGCTTCCCATGGGGTCACAGCCTGCTCGTTTGGGCATCCCCCTGCTCCAGCATGGGTTCCTCCCCAGGCTGCAGGTGGAATCTGCTCCACTGTGGACCTCCATGGGCTGCAGGGCACAGCCTGCCACACCATTGTCTGCACCACGGGCTGCAGGGGAATCTGTGCTCTGCTGTCTGGAGCACCTCCTGCCCCTCTTCTGCACTGACTTTGGTGTCTGCAGAGATGTTCCTCTCACATATTCTCACTCCTGTCTCTGGCTGCTGGTGTGCAGCAGGTTTTTTTACCCCTTCTTAAACACACTATCCCAGAGGTGCTACCACCACCACTATTGAGCTCAGCCTTGGCCATGGGTGGGTCCGTCTTGGAGGAGACTGGAATTGGCTGCATTGGACAGAGGGGAAGCTTCTGGCAGCTTCTCACAGCAGCCACCCAATACAAGTCATATGTTCTTTTTTATTAACTCGTTAGAATAGTAGCAAGGGATTGTTGAGGAAGAATTAGGATGGACAGGACAGCACCAGTGCAGGTCTGTGAGCTACGATGTCCCACAGAGATGTTTGGAAGAGCTACCAGCCTCAATGGAACTGGTCACAGCCTGACAGCAAAGCAAGAATTCTTCACATAATACTGATTTGCATTCATCAGCTTCTCACCATTACGAGGTGCAGCATTTCCTAGTGTCTGAATTTCTACTGTCTAGGTTGACCTCTAATTTTGAGAAGAGAAATAAAGAAATACTTGGAAAGCTGCTGATCCCTGAACTAAGGCTTTGCCTTCCTGTACAAAGCCTTTTCCTGTTACACTAGGTACTATTAGCCAATACTGTAATCTTCCCACTCTTCCAATGAATGTAGGAGGACAGTGTAATATTGCTGTTGTGGATTGTGCAACACAGCTGCAACCAGTTCTTAGCAGCTCAGTACTGAATGGTTTCAACTGGGTTGTTGTCAAAAATGGCATCGGAACTTCCTCTGATGACGGTGGGTCAATCCATGAGGATACCTGAAACAAGAACTGCACGTGGCTCCAGTTCCCTGTTGAGCTCCTGTAAATGATGCTGAGATAGGAAATAGCCTGTGACAGCAACATGGTTAACAACCACAGTGTTGTTATATATCCCCTCTTGTTCAGAGGTTTGCTTTCAGAAAACTGCTCTGCACGATTATCTGAAGATCTCAGCTGTTAGTTTTAAAAGTGAATTTTTTAGTTCTCATGTTCATAGGTACAGGAGAATTCCTGGAGAACTGAAAAACAGAGAAGCAACAAAAAGAACAGAGTGTTTGTTATTTTGGAGCTGATCTCATGGTTTTTGGTTTCCTGATTCATGATTCTGTCATGTTGATGGTAATATGGGTGTCATGTAATGGAAATGAACAGTCCCTCTGCTATTTTTGCTTCTGCCTAAATACTCCTATTTTTTAAAGCACACAACTCCTTCATTACTGGTTGCTGGGACTAATCACACAAATAAATTAT